TTAAACTTAAATTAAATTATAATAAATCTTTTTAAAGAAATTACATAAAAAAACGAGAACTTTTAAATAGTTGATTTGATATTAACATTGATATATTTTTTATAAATTTTTTTATGATATCTACAAATTTATATTTTATTCGAAAATAAAATCATTATTGTTTTCTTAAAAACACATAAAATCGTATTATAACATCGACAAAGACAAATAATAAAATAGAACATTAAAATCGAGATGTGTCTTGCTGCATTACGCAAGTACTCTTCTAGTGTATATATATATGTGTGTGTGTGTATGTGTATGTGTATCACAATTAATTTTAGAGCAAATTACACTTTTGGTCCATGTAATTGTCTAAAGACTAATTTGTCTTTCCTGCTAACTGATGGTGTTAACTTCAGGGATCATGAGTGTTATGAAATTAAAAAGTTAAAAACCATCAGTATAGAAATTTGTTTTAAGAACCAAATCGAAAATTTAAGCATACCACGGGAATGCCTGTATAGTTCACTCAAAATAATATGTTTAATACATATGTAAATCAATAAATTAAAAAACCCGTAAAAAATTAGAAATCATATTTTATCATTTTTTGGTAAAAAATGATAATTACATTCCGTAATCATCGTTCAATAACGGTTTATAACTTGACTTTATAACAAATCAACTAATTTTTTACATTCAACTATTTATTTGCTATAATAAACAATTATAGTATTTGAATATTTTTTTATTATTATTCTGAATATCCGATCCATTATGCGAGCGGACTAATCCCAATGTGACCACCTGTTTTGTAGGTAGTCCGAAGTCATCGCATTTGAACCTTCGTATCCACAAGGACATTTTTTTTATTTATCTTTGGATTCAAACCTGAGACCTCTAGACATTTTTAACCTTTAGAACTCAAGTTTAAACCAATCGGACACCACCCTTCTAATTGTATTTAAATATTTTTGTCAGTCAAAAGTGGGGGTGAATCACTTTGCCTTTATAAGTCATAAATTGCGCATCTTAAGGAAGGTGTTTTTGTAGTAATTATCAAACAAATTGAATGTTGATTGACGTTAAAGCAAAGTTGTGGTAGGGAATACCTTTCCAATCAACTTTTAATCATCACAAATTAGACCTATAATTCATATGCCAAAACCTATTAATTTTTATCTGTTCGGTATTACCACGTAAATGATAAATATATAACGTCCATTAATTATTATATTAGAGTTATGATTTGATGATGTGAGATGATAACATTACATGTTAGAGTGTCATATAATCTAGACACTTTATATCTGATTTTTGTGTATATTGAAACTTTCATTTTTTTTCTATTAACCTGGATATCCAACCCGTTATACGAGCCGGCTAATCCCAAGGCGACCACCCGCTTCGTGGGTAGCCCAGAGTCACCGCATTTGAACATCCGTGACCACAAAGGGATTTCTATTCCTTATTGGATTCGAATCTGAGACCTCCAGATACTTTTGATCTTTGGAGTCCAAGCTCAAACCAATTAGTCTAGCCCAAGCTCGAACCTGGGACCTCCTTTAGGAACTTTCATCTTTCTAAACTAGTCTAGCATATCCAGGGGTCTGACACATTCAATCGAGTCTCTGTTTAAGAGAGCGTATTGGAATTCTATATCGTTTAGATGCAGTTTAATCATCTATTTATATAGTTCTTCTAAATAGAGAACAAAAAAGATTAGGGGTGTGTATCAAGATTCAAGGGGCAAGAAATGAAAATGATGATGAAAAATGTGGTTTGTCGCCGTCGCCCCCGGAATCAATAAGAAAACGAGTGCGAATCCTTCGAATCCTTCTATCGAAACTTCATAACAGATGATGGATAAACCTGTATACATAATATAGAAGAATAATTGTGAATCGATTCCATGTTGAAGAAAGAATCGAATATTCATTGATCAGAGATTTTCTGCAATTAGGGCTACTGAACGATAGCGGCTTAAAGCTAAGAGCAGCATCTCAAGCCAATTTAGCTCTTAATACATGATCATTCAAGTCAGGTTTTTTGTTTTGATGTTAATATAATGGGTCCATCACCCCAAACCCATTAATATTCATACGCGGACTGAATTAGGAGGGGGAGGGGGTGGAAATTTTATTTCTGCTCAATCCTCTTTTCCATACGTCGCTCCATCTCTCGATGTTGAACGAAACATCTTTTGTATTTTCAAGTCAGATGGAACTTATTTATATTAAAAATATTATATAAAACAATTTTTCATTGATTATATTAATTTAACCAAACAACATCAATCCCAGATTCAAATCCAAGGAGGAATAAAAACCCCTTGTGGCCATGGAGGTTCAATGCGGTGACTCTGGGCTATCTGCAAAGCAGGTGGTCCCCCTGTAATTAGTCGACTCGCATAGCGGATTGTCTCTTACATTTTCCATTTTCATTTTCATTGTGATTTTCATAAAATGAAACAAAATTCCCCAAACAATTAAGATATATTTTGTAGACAAAATATTTTGCACATAATGATGCATGGTATATATTGTCTACATGTTTTGTCCCCTTTTAAGTAGATTTGTTTTCTTTTTATCATGATAAATGTATTTTTTTTAAATAAAGAGATAAATTTTTATCATAGAACGAAAACATATATATCGTACGGATGGAATCGAAAATACGACTACAAGAAAGGAAAGAAAACGAAAACAACAATGGCTTGGAAGTATACACATGTAAATCTCGATTTCCATGCTTGTAAGAATTAATTTAGGGGTTGTTTGTTTAACTTTAATTAGTTCTATTAAGAGGCAGCCTCTGAATCGTTAAGAGGTGAATCTTGTTTGCCAGAACAAAAGTCTGCCTCTTAATGGTTCTAAAACCTTCTGAATGATTTTGTATCACGAGTCTCCCTTAACCATTCAACGCCCTAATTTCTTTGCAAACAATTACCAAACAATTATATTTCATTTGGCACTATATCATGTGAATCTTTTAATCATTCTGCACCAAATCATTCAATAACTATCAAATAGCCCCTTAATTTACAAAGAAAGGAATTCGAACCCATAATCTTAAAGGATGTTTGGTTCAAAGAATTCCATAATTCTATTTGACCAAATTTGATTCCCATGTGTGATTAAAGTGAACGTGAACCTTGGAAGAAATCTTTTGGATCCAAATAATTCCTAAAAGTAGAGTAACATCAATCATCAATGTTGAAACTTTATACAACAAAAAGTCAAACGTTTCTTTTTCAGATAAATCTAAAATAAAAATGATTAAAAATAAACAGACTTGAGATCATTTGACATTAAGTTGTTTTCATGAGACTTGTAAGACCACATAAATAAAAGTAAACTTTCACCGAAAAAATGTTTTTGCGGTAAAAGTTTGATGTTTGTTAAACCTTCACAATGTTTTGCTATGAAATTTCAATGTTATTTGTTGGTCTCAATGTGACTAAAACTTACCGGAACCCAACCCTATTTTTAAAATGAAAAGATTAACAACTGTCCTTTTAATCGTTCAAAATGCACCAAAAACACCCTCAAGTTTTGGTATAATATATATAAGAAGCCATTAATTATAACAGACTTTGTTCCCTTCCCATGACATTTGTAACGATATGTAAATACAATAAACAAATAAAAAACTGGTGATGGAAAAATTGAAAGACAAGAGGCCACTGAAATTGGGATGTTTCACAGGAATGCTGTTTCTTCAGTTGAGCTTTCCAATCTCCATCTTCTTCCTGATAGCTTTTTGACCATGATATATAAACGAATCTAGTATTCCTGAAACCGTGAAAACACCTGCATCCATCGTCATAACAAATTATAACTACCAATTGATCAAACTCAGTATTTGTGAGAATATATGGAACCCCCGTATTTACTCTCCAAAAGAGCCTTTAAGGAGAAAAAAGAGGTTTCAAACATATATATATATATATAATATATATATATATATATATATATATATATATATATATATATACATGTGTGTGTGTGTGTATATATATAAATAGGGTTGAGTTCACATGAGACCAAGGGTTTTTCGTGAGACCCGTAAGACCAATTTATATTCATTGATCAACTTTATAAACTAATAATCTAATGGTCTAGATGTGCACGGTGGCAATTTTGTGATTATTGAGAAGTCTCGTGGCAATTTTGTGATTATGAATGTTCAGATTGTAGATCTAATCCAAGGGTTGAAAATTGGTCTTACGGGTCACATGATCCCAAGTCTGTATATATATACATGTATAGGAGAATTGGTCCAAAAGAGGCTAGACAAACACTTATGGTCCCATAGTGTCAAGAGGGGGCAAGACGAATAAAGATTACCCGAGAGTGTCAAGTCCTTAGAGTGGTAGACTTTTGGCTTTGATACAATGCGAGAATACGTGGGACCTCCAAATTTCTCTCCAAAAGAGCTATGAAGGAGAGAATATAGGTTCCAATATATACCGAGGAGAATTGGAACAAGTCTAACCGATGTGGGACTCTTAACAATATTAAATTCTGATATCTTAATTCTCACTTATACTTTTACCATACATATACATGCAAAAGAATGAATTTTTTTACCTCCAACAATAGCGCAGACATTAGTCAGAAAGTGAAAAAATGAAACATGCTCCTCTCTGAAAGTAACCTGCACAAGAATTCTTGGAATTTAGAATAATTCCTGTAGAAAATTATAAATTAAAAAAGAGAAAGGCTGAATCAGACCTTGATAGGTGAAAGTTCATAAAAGAAGAAAACTCCAGGAAGGGTCTGAAGCCGGCCAACTTCTGCACCTTTGAAATGTTCGGTTACTGAGAACTGCATGCGTAGGATTTATAAAAAACGGACCTTGTGTGTTATTTAAGTATAAAAGCAAAAAGAGCAGTTAAATATATGTGATTATTAATAGATGATGAAACCTGGTTTGATTGAATTCTGTGTTCGCTAACATCAGTATAAACGGTTGGTACAACCTGACAGACGAAAGATTTCTGTTATTCCACAGAAACGATAAAAAGCTAACATGGATTCTAATACAGGGTTTCATTTGTTTATACCATTTTGGGAAATTAACGTAAATAGCCGTGTTGACCAATTAAATTCACTCCTAGTCAACTCTCTCCCATTTTTACCAATTTATCAACACCTCTGCAAGTGCCCTTGCCACAACTTGCGGAGGGCTATTTAAGAAAAAAGCAAGTTGCAAATATACATTCACACGTATAGAAACAATAAAATTCAAGGTATCCTTTGGTGAAGGGCACTTGCGGATAGTATACATTCACACCTGTATTTTCTCAATATATTTATGGTACGTGGTTTGCGGAGGGGGAACTGGTGGAAGAGACGAGATTTCTAAGGGATGTTTTGCAATGAGATGTCATGTCGATGTCAACAGGTGTGTAAGGCTACGGTCTCTGAAAGCACATGTGTAACCTTATGCCAGTTACAAAAGCATAAAGCTACAGCTTCTATAACACAGTTGACATAGGAAGCATCCAAACATGTTATATGTTCATAAATCATAAAATCAATTTATAAATTTATTGAGGTCAAGGAGCTATGATCTCGAGTTTGAGCCTGTAAACAAGTAACGAGCTTGAGCTTTGAAACTGTGTGAAAGTTATTTGAGCTCGAACAACCTGCAACTCGACTCGACTCGACTCAGCTCGTTAACACCCATATTTTTGACCATATAGCCTAGGGTGAAATCTTGTATGATGAGAAGGGTCTTTATGACCATGTAGCCAGTGGTGAAATATTGTATAGGTGATAAGTATTTTATAGCCATCTAGATAAAGAAGGAATGTCTCATGGTGACAAGGGTCTTTGACACCAAAATAAGTAAGCTAAATGTCCTCATCTCATGGTCCAACTATGCTGCTCTATAACTAGAACGCTTCTGTAATCCGACAAACTTGGTTGCTAACTCTCTCCAAACATGTTCTAGCCCCTAAAGACATATAGAGATACTACACTTCAAATTCACAGATAAAAAATCAAATAAATATCTCCAACTTATCTTAATTGTGTTCTCCTACAAATCAGTGTTGATCAAAGTTCCAAGGGAATATTATTTTAGTGCTTAGGTAGAAAATGTGCAAAACCAATAGATGGTAACGAAGGATGCAAAATACGTAAACAACGAAAATATATGAAGTGTCATGCGTTGAGCATTTACCTTGAGAAAATACTGATACATCCCACTTGGGGTTTGCTGTGTCCATCGTACACTACAAATCAACATAATTGAAATGAACGAGGACACATCAACATGGAAGGTGTTTCTAAGAAGACTTGAAAAAAGCACAATTAGCAAATATGGACCAGAAAATGAGAACAGTCACATACCCGTCAAGGGGATTCACCACACCCGGAAAATAGTCTCCATATGCTAACCTGTTAATTCTATGACTTACCTGTGCTAAAAAGAAGTCATTTATTATTACAGGATCATCAGTGACCAGGTGCATGGCAGCTTATGAGTGGAAAACATAAATATATTCGCTATCTGTAACAACAAAATAAAAATCATGATTATATCTTACATTAAAACTCTCTTTCTGAAAAGCAAGCAGATCATGAACATGCATATTTGCTTGTTGAAAGCTTTTCCCTGGTGCAAAATGAAAATTTCCAGCCACCTTATTAACATCCAAGAATCCATATATATTACATCCTTCACCTTCTTCATCTTTAATCCTTTGTAGAAATCCTTCCCTTTTGCACTGGCAGAACAATGGAAAGCAAGAGAGCATTCAGTTCTAGGAAAAACAATACACATTACACACGACTAGAAATGAGAGAAACCAACTTTTAAGAAAGAAAATGACTCTCATCCACGAAAAAAGGTATCCATATGTTCTAGGAAAAGGTTGTGGTGGAACCAAATAGGGGAAATTGATGCAATGCTGTTTGAGATAGTTTGGTTATTCTCGAAAATAGGCCTTTCAATGAACCAGTTAGAATAGGAGTGTGTTAGAAGAGGTCAGGAAAGGCCAGATTATCATGGAGGAAGGAAGTAATAAGGGAATTATCGGATGAATGAGATCTCGGAGTTGGCCTGGCATAAGAAATAGGATGTTGTGGCGAAAAACTCGTTTATCACAAGATACACCAAAGTACCATGTATGAAATGATGTATAAACCCACAACCTCCGTCAACGGAATACGAATAGGATCCCAATGTGTTCAGAACCCCCAAACGAAGATAATAACAACACTACCACAATATAACACATGTAATGTAAAGCAAATAAATGACACAATAGTTTAACGTGGTTTCACTATAAGTGTGGTAGTGTATATCCCAGGGAGAGACAGATGTTTGTATATTGATAACAATTTGAGGATTACGATGAGAGCTCTTATCTTACGAAGATACCACCAAATGCTCTCCAAAAATCGTCTATGTTTTTAACAAGAAGGTAAGATATGAAGTGAACAAAATTTGACCTATAAATCATATTAGATCGGCCGATCCCCATAGGCAACTTGTACGTGACTTCACAAGTCGCGTACATGTTGCCAGGTTCTTCCATATCACAGTAAACGAGTAGCATGCATGCTGCACGGTCCAAACTACACAACTTCCATGCAACTTCCCAGTTTTGTGCAAATCTCTTTCACTGTTCCATAGCTATCCCAACTTATGCACGAGTTCATCACGACTTCCCAAATAGCCTAGAAGTAGCCCATGCCTGATGTGGAAAAATGTTTATCAAGTCTCCTAGACCTAAGAGGGGTTCCATTCTTTAAAATTTATGTGGGTTTCATTGTTAGTGTATCTCACCTACTTTGAGATAAAAGGATTTCTCAAAAAGAGGGGGGGGGGGGGTTGGTAATTTAAATCAATAGACTAGAACAACAAAAACTCCTCCATATGCACAGTACATTGGTACACCTCCGTTGAGGTTCACGTACAAAAGAAGAAACAAATGAGTTGGGTTTTGTTATTCTAGTGGGTGCTGTTTAGAATAAGGCCAAGGGGCTGTTTTGGGTTTTTACTTTTTCAATAATGAGCGGGAATCCCTTTTGTTGGGTGGGGATGAGCTTTCTATTGGGAATTCTGTTTTTCGTGTCAATTGTGATTTGACCTTTGCTCTGGGAGAGACCATGGCCTCTCGAATGCCATTGGAGTGATTTTGCTTTCATTCCTTTAATTCAATTCCATCAGTTCGTATTAGTGTACACCAAATTGGTATCAAAGCATCAACGATTCTGAGATGGCCACCCGTAGTGTGGCGACAAGGGTGGAGGATCTGGAGAGCAGCGTCAGATCAATAGAAAGGGGGATGCAGACGATTATCGAGCAACCGATCGCTTATTTCAGCCAAGCTTTGAGACCTCGAGCCAAGCAAAAGTCCGTTTACGAAAAGGAATCGATGGCGATTGTATTCACCGTTCAAAAGTGGAGACGTACTTGCTCGGTAGACACTTAACCGTTTGTAGTGATCAGCGAAGTCTCCGATTCTTGTTGGAACAATGAGTAGTCAAACTAGAGTATCAGAAATGGGTTAGTAAACTTTTGGGTTACGATTTTTCAATAGCGTATAAACCGGGTAGTGCTAATCAGGCAGCTGATGCTCTGTCTCGAAAGAAAGGGGTGGTCGAGTGTTCAAGCATGGGTGGCCCTCAATGGAGACAATGGGATATCTTGAAACAAGAGATTGACGAGGATGATCTTTTAAAAAGAAATCAAATCTGATTTGTTAATTGATGCAACTGCCCATAAGGGATTCGAACTTACGCAAGATTTATTGCTATACAAAGGGCGATTGGTTCTACCGAGAAAATCAAAGTTGATCCCACTGTTGTTTGAGGAATTCCATAGCTCACCGATAGGCGGTCATGGTGGAGAGGATCGCATTTATCAACGTATCGCGACTGAAGTTTTCTGGGTGGGAATGAGGAAAGACATTGTTGACTCGGTAAAGAAATGCGAGGTTTGTCAAAGGAACAAGAACGTCAGTGGGTCTCCAGCGGGTTTGTTACAACCATTGGCTCTTCCTACTATGGTATAGGAAGAGATATCGATGGATTTCATCGAAGGGCTACCACGGTCTGAAGGAACGAGTATGATTCTGGTAGTGGTCGATCATTTTAGTAGATATGCCCATTTCATCGGTCTCAAATATCCTTTCAACACTAAATCGGTAGCCGACGTTTTTGTTAAAGAGATCATTTGACTACATGGTATTCCACAATCCATAGTTTTTGATCGAGATAAAGTATTTCTCAGTGGGTTTTGGAGAGAGCTTTTTAAGTTGTAAGGTTCTAAGCTGAATTACAACACTGCTTATTATCCACAGTCCGAAGTGGTCAACAAATGCTTGGAACAATACTTACGGTGTTAGGTCTCAGACAGACCAAAACAGTGGAGTCAGTGGTTAGCATGGGCCGAATTGTCCTATAATACATCCCTAAAATGTTCCCCTTTTAAAGTGCTTTATGGAAGGGACCCTCCTCCGTTATTACATTATTGATCAGCAGCTTTGAACTTACAATCAATGGAATAAGAACTGATGACCAGGGATGAGATTTGGGATGAAGTTAGAATGCATCTCTTGACAACCCAATGTAGAATGAAACAACAAAAAGATTTACAACACAAAGAAATTGAGTTTGCTGTGGGAGATTGGGTTTTTCTAAAATTGTGCCCTTATCGTCAAAAGTCGTTGATTAAGGGGAATAACCCAAAGCTGTTAGCAAGATTTTAAGGCCCTTACAGAATCTCGGAGAAGATAGGCTAGGTGGCCTACAGATTAGTACTACCGGATGGAGTAAAAATCCACCCAGTTTTTCACGTATCGCAACTGAGCCAAGCTATAGGAGGTTGCGTGTCTGTTAAAGACATTCCCTCGCAAATTTCGGATGACCTGGTGTTACAAGCAGAACCGGAGGACTTGATGGATGTGCGTTTAGTGCCAAATGGGGATCCAGGGAAATTGGAAGTCTTAGTAAAATGGAAGGGTTTATCAGATTTTGAATCTTCTTGGGAACTATTTGACCCCCGCTACATCGGTTTCCTGATAAGCACCTTGAGGACAAGGTGCTTTCTTTGGGGGGAAGTATTGGTACACCTCCATTAAGGTTTAAGTACAAAAGAAGAAACAAATAAGTTGGGTTTTTTATTCTAGTGGGTGCTGTTTAGAATAAGGCCCAGGGGCTGTTTTGGGTTTTTACTTTTTCAATAATGAGCGGGAATCCCTTTTGTTAGGTGGGGTGCGCTTTCTGTTCGACATTCTGTTTTTCGTGTCAATTGTGATCTCACATTTGCTCTGGGAGAGACCATGGCCTCTCGAATGCCATTGGAGTGATTTTGCTTTCATTCCTTTAATTCAATTCCATTAGTTCGTATTAGTGTACACCGGCTAGCTACAATAATGAGCCATGCCAAAGATTGATAGGATCATAGGAACCACCCATTTCTCTCCAAATCAGTTGTTTGAGCATTCAATCAAAAGTTATGTTCAAACCATTAAGAGTCACCCCATCCTCTACTCAGATTTCACAATGTTATAGTTCCAATATTTTTATCAAGACCACACTAAGTTATCTTCTATCTTTAACATGGTTAAGATACTTCTTACTTGATGACCAAATAAATTATAGACCGCACTAGGTTACCTTCTATCTTTAACATGGTTAAGATACTTCAATTATAACGATTCCTACCGAACTAAGCACTAGATGAATAGAAGAAAACCAACTAAGATAACTTAATTGATATCTTTTGTTGCCAACCTTGTGGTCTTTGTAAAAATCATCAGATATTTATTTTTGAAATTTAGACCAAGGGGCAGAATACTAGGCCAACCATACATTATTACATTGACAAAAAGGAATCATGACACGCATGCTGCACTCCAGATGAACCTTCATGAGCTTTGAGTTAAGGTGGACGTTGAAAATTGTAGGCAATATTCAAACTTACAAGGCTAATACCATGATTCTGCTTTTCAGAATCACCTCATTATGGTTGAAAGATCATAATATTAATGCAGTTGGAGATGACATAGAAGAAGAACTTCAAGGAGAGTTTCACAAGTACTAGGAGTAGACAGTTCCTTACAGCTATACTCACAATTCTGTGTGCTATTATACTTCATTACACATCACTTAAATATTTTATGCTTGGCTTCACATCAACATCAGGCAACAAACTGTCAAACAAGTAGGTAAAGAAAGAAAGGGGTTATCTCTAGCTGCTCTACAATGCTGATTTAGACCATATGAAAACATAGGCACACATGCATGCATGAGAGAGAGAGAGATGACCTGATCTATCGAATCTGGATCTGACATTGACCAACCTTTCTTCTTATATGCTTCCCGAACATCTTCACAGGAGTTGCAACATTCCTCGTCTGACTACAAAAATCAGGCATAATTGGCAGAGTTTATGCATAACAATTGGTTAATAGCCACTTATTTTCTTCTAGCACACAATTTGATGGAAACAACATAATCAAATAAAGATGATAAGAACTCAATGACTGATTGGCTGTTTATTTACACAAAAAACCATCAACTAGTAAACAGATTGGAATGACTGATTGGTTGTTTATTTAGTATTTACACAAATAAAAAAACAATTCCTGTCAAGGCAAGATCAAGTAAATACTTGATCTCACAGAAGTTTAGTTCTGAACCTCTTATTTCTCTTGTTTGGAAGTTAAAAGTATTGCATATCTCCATTGATGAAGTTTATTGTGTTAAAGGAACCACAATGCTGAATCTGTGAAGTAGATATATAATTATCTTTTACTAACGCTTCTGATAAGCATATGCAATTTGACTGTCTTTGGCTTTGCATGTAAATATATCGGTCCCCCTAAATGTATATTCAAGTAATTAGAATATCTTGCGTTGGGTTTATAAAAAAATCTTGCCTTGGGTTGTTTGTGACATTCATGTAGATAACTTGTATGTGCTTAGATTAATAGATAGCTATGTTTCAAGGATACAAGCGCAAGGTCTGCGATACAAGTCTGTGCATAAATACCGGGATTCGTCAATCCTAAGCACTCAAGGATTCAGGGGTGCATAAATGCATGTGTATACAAGTCCAAGTCAAACTAATTGGAGAAAGAAAATAATTCATAATTCTTGCATTAAATATATAAAGTGAAACTCAAACTTGAGCTTGAGTCTTGTGTTGTTTCACTTGTTTGTACTTCCACTTAAGTCTTCACATAATAGAATAATCGATTAAGAACAAAGATTTGTTGTGTCGCCCTTCCTCTTAATTCTCTTTTAGATGTGTAGTTTTATTATATGCTTTTAGCTTGATTTCTAAATCATAATCTGTGAATTTTATCTCTAGTTTTCCGAGAAGACTAAATTTGCTCCTCTTCTGTGCATGCACATTCAATATTCATATCCCCTCATTTGTGGAACGTTCAACGCTGCAGGGGATGTGGCGATGTGCACCCCTGGACCACACAATGCAAGGGTTTCACAAGGGGTATAAGCTCTTAGATTGTTAGTTACTACTTGAGAATGAATCAGAAGTCTAAAGAGGTTTCAATTGAGGTTTTGATCTCCGCTGTTCACATGCAGGCCATCATTCTTTATCTTGGATGAACCAAGTTTCTAACACTATTTGTCACATTGAGAGAAACCAATACCAAATACCAGAACATAGTTAGAAAGCATACCGCTTCTGCACCATAACATGAACCACAGTATGTCTCGTTGTGTTCAAGCTTGCCACCATGTCTTTGCAAAGGCGTATCAAGCTGTTCCTCTCAATCAACAACAAAGTATGACAGGACCGTAAGATAAATACGGTACAATTTATCTTATATTCTATGATATTCTGTAAATGAACAACTATTACAGTGATAAAAACAATCGACTTTCTGGGCATATGGAATCTGATGATTAAAAAAACCTGAACGATTGATGCTTAAGGACAAGATTGTCACCAACCTTGGGAGCTCCAATACGATCTCGTCTTGATTCTATGACATTACCATTAAAGTCCATTCGCTTTTTATAAATATCATGTTTCTGCAAGTATGCATGAGATAATAAGTCACTACACGAAGAACAGACAGATGGCACAATGGTATAAAATTTGATCTGTTGTGCATCAATACATTCTAGAACTTCTATATCTACAGTTACATAACATTTCAATGAGCATTATTACTACCGTGTTTGTGGTTTGATACTTTGATTTAAAGTAAATAGCCATAAAAAATATGTCAATACACATAACTTAACCAACACAGCACGGTCTAACATACTAAAGTATATACATATATGCACACACTGACGTATCCTTGTGAAGTTAAATCAACCAAATGCAATAGAGCAGAACTCAGACCTTCACACTTGTTGTGAGACCCAACAAACTCAATTGTTTTACACTAGAGTTTAACTTTATATATGTACATATATATGTGATGTCTCATGGTTGACAATGTTATTCCTTAAAATCAAACAAAATCAAAAAAGTACATTTCTAAATGGAATAAAATAGTGCCGGGGACTAGTAGTCACGAGGGGGTACATTCAGCAATTAGTCACATACAGTTAAAGGACTTATGCAGATATATAAACACAAGATAACTCACTTTGTTTTAAGACAAAATGATAGAACAAGGATAATCTATTCCCTAATATTACTAAAATAAAGTGAAGTTGCACATAAGCCAAACAATTAAACATAGAGAATCCACTTCCTCGTAATATTGAAGTAAAATGAACCACATAATTTACTAATAGATTTTTGTTATTTGTGTTTAATCTTTTGCTTAGTGTGTGGTGGTGGATGGAGTGGGGATGGTTGTCTGCATGGCCAATGTTTGCACTTTAAGTGGAAGATACAAACTCAGACGCATACACTTGGTGCATATTTGAGTACCAATTACATAAACCTCATAAAGATCCATGTAAAAAGTTTCAAGATTGTATAGTTTAATGGTAAAGTTTGATTACACAAACATATAGAATAGAAGGATGCTGTCAAAGGAAAGAGGAAAGCAAAAAGGGATGACCGAAAAAGTAACTGATAGAACAACAATCTCCCTGAATACATACAATATCAAGATGTTGCTCCCCACTGATATCCATAGCATCAAGACTGAGTATTGAACATGGAAGTGCTGGAAAAATGATGTCGAACTGCATTTTCAGATAAAAATAGAGGGAATCATGATTAGTACAAAAATTATAAATGAACCGATTCTAGAAGTTGAAATACCATATAACCATAATTGAGAAGCTATACAGAAAAGAAAATGCAACAACATTGATTCGTAGTCGTTCTCCTCTCGAGGTATCTACTATTAGCTTTGTTTCAGTTACAGAATGAAGATATAATCCTGCAAGCGAGCAGAAGTACATAAGATATTGAATGTCAAACAAGTTGGTACTAGATTAGTAGCAGCATGCGTTTCAGATAGATACTTCAGAGAAACAGAGTGGAATGCAGAAAAAAAAGACAGCAATATTTAGTCTCATTAGTCTAAAGGAGCAAACACGGCTAAACTGCCAATGGATATATACCAAGTATTTAGCATTACCATATGAAAAAGCTTATGCCTTTAACATTTGAGTTCAAAGGTCTGATAAAACTGATCAGAAGTGATTCCATCAATTGAAAATAATCTTTCACTTGCCGACGAATAGCTTCCCCATGTTCACACACGAAAGTTTCATAAACTTGTGAATCCACACAACAGAGATAGAACCCGTTCTTATAATAATCTGCCCCGCTTCCTATCATTACATAAAAAACAAATATGTTCTAGGTTGTATGTTTACGCACACTAGTTAAGCATTCCTTTTGAATATCATCAGACAAGTCAGCAGATATGATACAATTGTTGGAGTAGGTTACTAATTAACATATAGTAAAGGATTCCAGGCAACCAAAGGCACACACATTTAATGAGAATGTTGCAATGGTTGTGGACTAATTAAGCTATTAAGTATCAATTCACAATTGCTACATCTTATGAATCAAACTCTCAATATATGAATGAACAGATCAAACTCGAAATCAAGTATAGACCCGCATACATCACTGCATTTCCACTTGACACCTATCATAATGACATAAATGGCTTGTCTCTCCATGACCTTCTCTTGAATTCTCAAAATTTCTGTAGCTCCATCCCACAGAGGCAGAGAACCCATCGCTAAAGCAATGAGATGCTTAAATGGGATTTTTTTAGTTCCAATAAATCATGAGCAGTTCAATCAGGAGATGTTTCGGCTTATAGTCCTCCTAATGTAATTTCGATTACTGATGGACAAATACTACTTGATGCATTCTTAAGCAAGCCTCTAATGACCATGTTAAACAACTTGGATCCATTCCTTTGGCACACAACACTTTTTCTTGGTGCTTGGGTGCAACATACATACAAAAAATTAGTCACGATATTTTTAGTTCTTCATGGACACTTTTTGGGATCTTCTGGGCTTATCAATATGAGAACTAGTTGAAGTCAATCTCCATCTTTCAGTTTGATATAGGAACAAGCAGTTCCCCTCATTCTTGGAAAATAAATCCATTTTTAAAGTTCAATTTAGTACTTTTGAATGCAAAATGGGATGGGTTTTGTTGAGACTGTGATAATAACATCATTTTATTTGTAGTATATGTGAAAAAGCTCAATGATGTTGACATATTTGTTCTCTTAGAGACCAAACTGTACATCAATTTTGAGTTAACCGACAACTCAAAATGCGCCTTCTTTTTTCCAAATCCGTCGAAGCAACTTTATAATAATCAGAAATACACTTTAAAAACCTAACTTTTTAATACAGTATCAATCATGTGTATCACACTATCAGTCATAAATCAGATAATAACACAACATTACTAAACACAATAACATACACACCCCTGTCATTTGAGAGAGAAAGAACTCACTGAGCTCGGAGAAGAAGAGCATAAGCATGAAGATGGAAGATACAAGGGTGATGACACCCCCGGAGATCGTTCTACTGTAGAAATCCTCATTGACCTTAGGATATGCATCCAAATTCCGCATCTTGTTCATTATATTTTCCATATTCTGAAATCTATAGAAAAATCCACTATCCCAAAAAACACGTCAATCAATTTCCCGAATTATGATTTCAACTTTCAAATTGAATTGAACAAACTCAAGATGCAAAGTACGCTGTCGGTCGGTCTCCAGTACAAGTTTTTCACTTATTATTTGAATTCAATTCACTAATCTTACAGATTACAAAAATATACTCTTTTGTAAATTGAATCCTTCGATTCTGATTTGAAAATTTGGAATCGCCGGTGAACGGAGTCGTCAGATCTTCCCACTAGCGGGAATCGGGATCAACCACGAACGACCTGTGAGGTTACAAAGCAACATCATGAGACTGGGCTTGATTTATAAAATAATAAGCCCAATTTTGTGGGCTTAAAAACCCGTATACTAGCGGGTGTGCAGGGGATGTTTACTTGTAATATAGTTTAATTTAATGGACTTAATGGTCTAGACAGTATATTTGTTCGGTTATACAAGAGCGTTTTTCACGGCTTAATTGTTAAGCTAAAATGGTATATGGAATAAGTCAAGACCCCATTAGTTAAATGACATTAAGGGGCCGTTTACTAAACGTTTATCCGGGTAAGCGCTTATCAAGTAACATTACCTCATCGGATGAATATAGTAAGGATCAAGAATCTTACCTGATAAGAGCAAGACAAGGATCAAAAGTCTTACCCGGTAAGTGAGGACGACGACTCTTACCACGATAAGCGCTTACCGGGTAAATTGTTGTATACTATGTCGTTTTGTTTGACTAAAATCTTACCCGGTAAGTACATAATAGTGTTAAATTTTACCGGTATGCACTTACCGGATAAATGTTTGATAAACGACCCCTTATTCACTTCAGAGAATGTTCCAGAAAACCTATCAGGAGAAAAAAACGATGTATAAAATCTGGCTAAACTCAATAACATTAAGATAACTTGTTATTGATGTTTACACCTTGTCTGGCCTATTAAACATTATTAGAAGGGTACTCGCGCAATACAGTGAGATACATTTTCATTATAATATTTCGTTTTATATTTTTGGATCTATCGATGTTATAATGCGACTCTATGTTGTTTTCAAAAAAAAAATCTTTTTATTTTTTAATGAAATATAAATATGAAGATATTATAAAATTTTGATAAAAATAAACGACATTAATATTAAATTAACTATTTAAAAGTTTTCGTTTTTGTGTAATTTCTTTAATCAAATTTTTGTTCTAATTTAATTGAAGTTTAAAAACGAACTAATTTATTTTTAGTTTAATAAAACAATATTTTAAGATAATAATTAAGTATTATGTTATAACTTAATGATTATTTTAATTATATTTTAAATTTTTATATTTAAAATAATGTTTATCATGTACTTGATTATGTTTACTAGCAGTTATTCAAACATGAAGTTTTAATAAGATGTACTCATGCACATTCTACTTGTAATCTTGAATTTTAAGTAATATGCATCAATAAACAATACCATATATGCATAAAAATTTGTTTTTAAGAGTTTTTGTCAAATACTTTATGATATAATATAGATATCTTAAAAAAATATTTAACAAATGAACTAATTTAGAGCATCTCTGTATAAAAACCTTTTTTCTTATTTTTTATTGTCACCTCATTTTCAATTCATCAAATTAAAAAACTTACATAAAAGTTCATAACGATAGTTCTTGTATAAGAACCTTCTTTTTGTAGGTACCATGTATTTTTCAACATCAATAATTATTAATATAAAATCAATAAAATATAATTAAAAAAATTGTCTTTTCACCCAAATTTTTATATCAAAAATCAATGTTCTTGTACAAAAACTTTAAAAGGTGGTGAGGTTTTTTTTACGAGACTCTCACAATAATAGTTCCTACAAGACCCCTCATTTTTTGCCAGTATTCCAAAAAGCTCGTCACAATAGCCGTCATGGCGCGATGTGACTCAAGACTTGTGTCTCATGTCATGTTATGCCTAAGGCATGTTATGGCGTAATGCACGATTTTTGTTACACAATATTTGATTTTACTTATATTTTTTGTTTTATTTGTTAGTTTTTAAATATATAACTTAATTTAAATTATTTAAATATATAACTTAATTTAAATTACTTGGTATTATTGATTCATTGAGTACATCTTCAATTTACGAGAATGCGAGAACACCTTTTAATTATAGACAATCACATGTGATACTATTAATTTTATCACAAATGATACACATGTAATACTAAATTAGAGACGCAGACGATCTTCAATGCGATCTTGGTTGCGGGCCAACTCGCCCTTACACCACTAATCTCCCTCATATATATATTATCAAATGTGATAAATGTGTATTTGATATGATACTATAATCTATCAAGACCATCACATGTGATGCTAAATTATATATAGATGCAGACAACCTTTGGCGTGACCTAAGTCGTAGAACACGCCGTCCGCACATCACAGTCCTCTCACGCGTATCATCACACGTGATAAAAATGTTCTCACGTTTTCATCAAACGGAGATGTTCTCGTTTGAACCTCCACCTATATATATATATAATTTTATATTGACATAAAGATTTGCCGCCATAAATCAAGCCTTAAAAATGTCGCGACCTCGTCGTGACTTCTAAGACTTGAGGCTTGACGCTATTTAAAACCTTGTTTATACCCTAATATAGAGTATAAACAATGCAATCTAGTTTGGATCTTAGATTGACCAGAAAAATAATGCCTAATAATAGGCTTAAATTCTTGGGAAAAAATATACGATCCCACTCTATGTGCTCAACCTCCCAAATTGTTGATCCCAAAGAAACTCTCCTTGCCCCACCATCACGTTCCACCATTATTGCCCCTACCACCACCACCATCCACCATTGCTCATGGAGGAGAGGGGCCCTCCCTCCACTTCCATTCAAGTCTCCGGCGACTATCCCAACCACCACTTCCATCAAAATCTCCAAGACGTCCGTCCGGGGACTTACGTTGTCCAAGTCCCAAAAGACAGAATTTACAGAACCCCACCACCGGAAAATGCCTTGATCGCCGAACGCCACCGTAATGCTCCTTCTAAGAAACCATCTGGGTTTCCTCTTAAGTGTGTCTTGATCTCCATCATCATCTTTGTGCTCTTCTTGGGCCTCATTGGTGGGATCATTTTAGCTGTGATCAAGAAAGACGACCCTCGGTTTCGGGTCAAACGTGTTCGGGTGACCACGAAAGGCAAAACCCGACAACAGAAACACGAGTTCGATATCACATTGGCATCAAGAAACCCTAATGCTTACACCATCATTGCCTTTGATGATCATGGGAAAACTTCTTTATCTTTTAAAGATAAGAAATTTGCAAATGGGAACTTTCCATCATCCCAACAAGACCCTAAAAACTCCAAGGATGTCAAGTTAACCCTAACGAGTTCCTCAAAAACGAAGTTACCTACAGAAATTCAAAAAAGCATGAATGAAACAGTAAAATCCAAAAAACATGTAGATATATTACTCGAGTTTAGGGTTCCGGTGAAAATGAAGGTCGGGACATTGGAAATGAAGAGCAAGACGATTTCGATGTTGTGCCATTTCAAGGTAAATACGTTGGCCAAGAATTCAAGAGTGTTATCTCAAGATTGTGATTATTCCACAAGAGTTAATTAACTAATCTAGGTAACCAATTAACCCGCCAGCCATGGCTGCAGCCACTTGATGGTGGTTCGGTGGCCATTGCTGCAGTCACTTGATGGTGCTCGATCGACGCATGGCCATGGTTGCAGTCACTTGATGGTGGTTCGATGGTGGTACTTTTGCCCTCGAGATTTTTCATTACTTTTGAAGTTGCTAGGGTTTACAACTTTCTTCTTTATCTTTATTATGCTTTTTGTTTATTAGCATAAGAAAAAACTGTTTGATTATTAGTTTCTAATTAGATGTATATGATTGTTCGAATATTAATGCCTTACAGTTGGAATAATGTTCAATATCTTGAATTTTGAATTAGGTTTCGGTACGAATTTAATTAAAATCGTGTATTCTTGTAAATAGTAAAAAGGTAAACTTTCAACCATAAAGTGGTGTCTGATTGGTTTGAGCTTGACTCCAAAGGTCAAAAGTACCAAGAGGTCTCAGGTTTAAATCCAATAAGAAATAAAACTCCTCTTGTTGTCACAGAGGTTCAAATGCGGTGACTCCGGACTATCTGCAAAACAGATGATCGTTCTGGGATTAGTCGGCTCATATAGCAGGTTGGATATCCAGGTTAATAAAAATAATAATTCAGTATTGTTGTATTATTAATCAAATGATGAGTGTACACTTACCTCAATGAACAAAGCATGTTGTTATTCTTTCAAAATCCTAATACAATGTACTAATGATTTGTTAATTGCTATATCTTGACATGGGTTTGCATTACATTTCCAAGATCACCCAAATCTATGATTCTATAAATAGAAACTTCTCCTTTTTTCTTTCTAGAAAAAGTTGTAGATTTGGATGGTATTAATCTATTTTTGTTCATTTAACTTTTAAAAGCATCTTGAATTACATAAAAATATATATTACTGACAAAAAGGTTCATGAAAATGTGTAGATACATTGTACCTATATAATGTCTTGTAGACTATTGAAACAGTTATACAATCGGAGCTAGATACAGATGATTGAATCGCACGTAAAAAAAGAAAATACCGAAAAGGGTAAGATTGGGGATCATAAAGTGCTTGTTTTTATAGACATGATTAGAGACAACTTGTCTGTTGACTATCTGATCATGTTCTTAATTACTTTTACTTAAGTAAAAGTTGAATTAACGAGGAATTTATGATGTTAAAAGTTTTTACAGTGTTTGTGAATATACAATATAACCGATTAGCTCAAGGACAAAAAAAATTAAAGAAGGTATATAAGGGGCCGTTTACGAAACACTTACTCACGTAAGCACTTACCAAGTCACATTACCTCACCGGATGAATATGGTAAGAACTAAGAATCTTACCCGGTAAGAGCGAGACAAGGACCATTAGTCTTACCTGGTAAGTGAGGGGACTACTCTTAAAAAGCCTAAAAACGTTCTATAAATCTATTGTAACACACTTGGATAGAAAGTTTTATAATTTATTTCTATCACTACAACAAAATCGGGTTTATAGAACACTCTCAAATTCTAAGTGTCCTAATAGACTTCTTTATAGGACTTAGTTTATAAAACCAAAAAAATAAAGTGTCCTATCTAAAAGTGTTGCAATAAGTTCATATGACGTTTTTTGACGTCGTTATAAGTTTTTTATGACGCTTTTAATATAAAGTGTCTCATCAATTTTATAAGACACTATTTGAAAATTTGTCCTATAAAAACAAGTGTCCTATAAAAAAAATGAGTTTATAGGACATTTTCTCAAAAGTGTCCTATAAAGTTGCTAATGCGACACTTTGTATTAAAAATGTTCTAAAAAACTTGTTAAGACGCCCAAAAGCGTCATATAAACTTATTACAACACCTTTAGATAGGACATTTTATATTTTGGTCCTTAAATTAAGTCTTATAAAGAGGTCTATTGAGACACTTAGAGATTGGAGGTGGGAATAAACTCAATTTTGTTGTAGTGTATATATAAACTTAAGCCCTATACAGTATGCTTATTAAGACGCTTAAACATTTTAAGCATCCTATAAACTCAAATTTGTTGTAAAGACATGTAGAAGTGATAAGAGTACTCTTGCTCGATCGATAAGGTTTTAGGTAGGAGATTTCCATTTAACCAATTTTATGATTTAAAACCGAGCTATTACTTAACATGTCCCTGATCAATCAATCACTTAATTAATTTTGGTGCTTAATTAGAAGATTACAAAAGTTGATTGAAACGTTTGAAAAAACCAAATGATGTTTTGATGATGTTGATATATGGTCAAAATTGATAATTCAGACAAGTAGTAGAGTGGGGATAAGCTATCTATAGCTTTACAGGGTGTTCAGCTAAGCATCTCCAAGCATTCATAGGTTGAAGTTGAACCATATATATATATATATATATATATATATATATATATATATATATATATATATATATATATATAGGTTGCAAATGAAATCTTTATTTTTATACTGATTTATCAATCTATATACAATATTATAAAATATTTGATAAAAACTTTTAAAAACCATTTTTTATACATGAAATATTGTTTATTGATGCATATTACTTAAAATTCAAGATTACAAGTAAATAATGCGTAAGTACAAGTTATTAAAACGTCATGCATACTTGAATTTGTATAATTAACTACAGATAAACATAATCAAATACTGGATAAATATTTCATTTTAAATATAAAAAATCTAAAATATAATTAGGATAATCATTATCTTCTAACAGAATATTTGATTATTATTTTTATAAAAATTATATTATTAAATAAAAAATAAATTACTTTCTTATTAAACATAAATTAAATTATAATTATAAAAAAAAGTTGAATTAAAGAAATTGCACAACAAAACAAGATTTTTTAAATAGTTAATTTGATACTAATATCGATATGTTTTTAAAAAAAATTAAGATATCTTCAAATTTATATTTAATTCAAAAATAAAAACATTATCGTTTTTCTCAAAACCACATAAAACCATATTATAACATTGACAGGAGGACAGGATAAAACGAAATATTAAAATCGAGACGTATCTCGCTGCATTGCACGAATACCCTTCTAGCATATATAAATTGAAATACTAATTGTTTGATTGGCTATTAACATATCTTCAAAATAAAAATCAAATACCCTAAAAATTACATATCTTTCGAATTCCAAGATTTCTTTAAGAAAATCATATTATAGGACGACTAAAGTGTTTAAGTCTTCTAATAAAGCGTCTTACATGACCTAAGTTTATAGAATAAAAAATAAAGTGTCATATATATCAAAAAAAAAAGTTACAATAAGCTTAGGACGCTTTTGAATGTCGTAACTAGAACTTGTTTTTAAAATAAAATGTCGTATTAACTATTTAACTGAATACTATTTGAAAAGACGTCCCATAAAAAGATGGGATTATAAGACACTTCAAAAAAACTGTCCTATAATTAAAATAACTAATATAACACTTCATTTTAAAAAAAAAAGCCTACAAAACTTATTAAAACGCCAAAAAAACCATAAAGATTGAAAGAAGTCTAACTTTTAAAGCAAAGATATGAAGTGGGCAGAGGGACCTATCAACCATGCTCTCAATTGTCTTCCCTTCCCTTCCCTTCCCTTCCCTTCATAATTACTTGTGGCCACTTTCTCTAATCACACATTTATGCTACTTTCAAACCTTTAATTAATGTTCATATTCATTATAGAAGACAAATTTACCCTAAATTGCCTCACCATTTATGTTTTTCTTTTTTATTAACCTGAATATCCAACCCGTTATGCGAGCCGACTAATCAGATAGCAACCATTTGCTTTGTAGATAGCATTGAGTCACCGCATTTGAACCTTCGTGGCCACAAGAGGATTTTTATTCTTTCTTGGATTTGAATCTGGGATCTCCAGATAATTTTGACCTTTGGAGCCAAGCTCAAACCAATCAGGCATCACCCTTGTGTTTATCACCATTTATGTCGTATCCAAGAAAAATAACCATGGTAGGCCCCGGTGCATAAAGAAAGTTCTTGTTACATTTTCTACGCTAGGTTCAATAAAAGAAATTGAATCAAACAGATTCAAATATTCTATAATTAGATGATGTATTTTGAACGAAAATCAAAATCAACTTAGTGGAGAAAGTGTGGTTATTAATTATATATATATATATATATATATATATATAAATATATAAATTTAATATGTTGGTTTTAGCAACAACTTTTGTCGTCGCTAAAGTCAATTTATCATTACAACGGTTTTAAAGACGACATGTCGTTGCAATAGTTTCTTACTGAAACATATCATCGTTAAAACTCATTTTTCTAGTACGTTTTAGTTTCTTGTTCTTTTATTTGGTTATTGTATGTTTTCGCATAAATGTGACTCTATGGGATTGTTTGACATTTGATGAATGGTTTGGTACAAAATGATTAAGAGGCTTTCATGATATAGTGTAAAATGAAATATAATTGTTTACAATGAAATCAGAGCGCTTAATGGTTAAGGAAGACTCATGATACAGAATCATTCAGAGGGTTTTTGAACCATTAAAAGGCATACTTTTTTTCCCCAAACAAGATTCACCTCTTAATGATTTAGATATTGCATCTTAATGAAACTATCAAAAGGTAAACAAACAATATCAATATCAATATCAATATCAATATCATGTATCTATCGAGAAATGGTGGCCAGGTTGATAGCATCATTAGATCATAAAACAAAGGTCGTGGCCATCATTACACCTTTCCCCTTTTATCTAACTTTCTTTCCTTTTTCCCCTTTGTGCTATTGTTTAAAGCTTTGAGTTGGCCAAAGATAATACAAAATAAAAGTTGAAGGGGTGAGATATAAAGCAGTACACTTGTGAAGTGTGAAAACCCCATTCCAAGATATATCCAAAGCCATTCTTTTACTCAAGTAAAAAGTGCTTATTGATTCAGCAAAGTAAAGATTGTATTTCTGAACAAAATAATGAGATGAGATGATAGCCAAAAGGGCCGGTGGTTGCTTCATTTATTAAATGGTTTCTTTAGCATCCCTTTTTCTTTTACAAATAGCCTCTCAAACCACTTGCATAATATCGACCATCAACCAACAAGAAGCTGGTGTAAATTAAAGCAAAGAAATACACAAGTTTTAGAGAGAGATGAGTAGAAGAGAAGGAAAAGGACCTCCTTCAAGGGATCTTTTGGTATGTTTTCCGACAAGAGCACATCTTACATTGATGCCAAAGGCGGTTTCTAGTCCCCGGAGACACCACCAGAACCACCTTAGAAAGTCCATGAGAGGTGGCGGAGGAGGCCATGCAAGTCCATATCTAAAGCAGATGAGTTCTGAAAACTTGTCTGAACCGACTTCTCCTAAAGTAACGTGTGCTGGGCAGATCAAGGTGAGACCAAGGGCAGGAGCGTGCAAGAATTGGCAGACGGTTATGGAAGAGATAGAAAGGCTTCATATTAATAGAAAGACGAAAAAGCCTAATTGGGTGGAGGCATTAGGGTTCAAGAAAGAAGTCATGCAGTTCTTGGCTTGCTTAAGGAGGATTAAGTTCGATTTTCGTTGTATGAGGTCGTTTTCGCATGTAGATGTCACTTCAGACGATGAAGAAGGCGATAACGATAAAGAAATCGATCAAAATCAAGATATTCAAGATCACTATGACCATGAAGAAGTTTCATCACGAACTGTGTTCTCGAAATGGTTTATGGTGCTACAAGAGAATAATCAAGATTGTGGGGTGTTTTCAAAAGACGAAAAAAGTTTGACATCGGAAGAAACTGATCAAGATCCTCGTCCATGTCTGCCGCCTGCGAATGCGCTTCTGCTCATGCGCTGTCGTTCTGCTCCTGCTAAAAGCTGGATGGAAGAGAAACAAGAAGAAGAAGAACAAGAAAAAGAGGATGATGATGATGATGGTCATGATGAGAAAGTTGAAGAAGAAGAACATGCCGATGATGATGATGGTGATGATGATGAGAAGATGGAAAAGAAAGAGAAGAAAAGGAAGAGTTTGATGGAATTGATGAAGATCAATGATCAAAGTGATTTCTACAAATTATCGAGTGATGTTGTTAAGGAAACATGGGTGATTGGTGGAATTCAGAAAGATCCATTCTCAAGAAGTAGAAGTTGGAAAAGATGATGGATGGATGCATCAAACCCTTAATTGTTTCTTAATTACTTTTCTATTTCTTGATTATAACTTTGTAAGTATTTTGTTGATAACCTACCAAAAACAATGTTGTATCAAGTTTACAAGAAATTAATAATTGTTTTGATGGTTAATTAATCCTTGTATTATATAATTAATTTAATCATATATATATATATATATATAGAGAGAGAGAGAGAGAGAGAGGAGGGAGGTGAGTTATTATGCAACCCTTTATATTTGTACAATCAACACAATTCAATCTCAACCGTTCATTTAATTTGATGAATATGTGATTTCATAGAAGTTTTGATTGTTTTCTAATATAAAGTATTGATCATAATTAATGAACCTTATTCATTTTTCATAAATATCTAAATCATAATAAATGAACTCTTATCATTTACATAAATATTTCAATTTATTGGGTTTTATTGGTTGTACAAATGTGATAGGTTGCATTTGAAACAAACTATATATATACAACTATGTCTATTTGTACAACTAATGCAACTCAATCAATTGAGATATTTATAAAAATGATGATAGTTCATTTATTATAATTGAAATATTTATGGAAGATGACTAAAGTTTATTAATTATGATCAATAATTTATATTAGGAAACAATCAAAACTTTTATGAAATCACATATTTATCAAACTAAATGGATGGTTGAGATTGAATTTATTGGTTGTACAAATATAAAAAGTTGTATAATAACTCACATCTCTCTCTCTCTCTCTCTATATATATATATATATAGAGAGAGAGAGAGAGGTTGGTTATTATACAACCTATGACATTTGTGCAACCAATACAACTCAATCTCAACCGTCCATTTTATTTTATTAATACGTGATTTCATAGAAGTTTTGATTGTTTCCTAATATAAAGTATTGATCATAATTAATGAATCATATTCATCTTCCATAAATATTCAAATCATAATATAAATGAACACTTATCATTTCCATAAATATCTCAATTTATTGGGTTGCATTGGTTGTACAAATAAACAGATTGTATTTGAAACAAACCATATATATATAAACATGAGTTATAGTTATCTTGAATTGTTAAGAGGTACAACCAATTAAGAATATTGTATAAGTTTTTAAAGCTTACACTCTCATATTATCTTCCATCAAATGATTTTCAATTTCAAAATTATATTTCATACTCTTATAATTAATGATTTGATTTACTTTGCATCTATTAACTTTTCATATTTCATTTTATACATTTATCATATTAACATAAATAATCGTATATGAAATCTAATGAATTTAAAAAGTACGTTTCTTTTCTTAAAAAATTATACCATTATAATCGTCTCGTTAATACTCTCAAATTGAACTCAATATTGAATATTTTTTGATTTAGTAATACTAATAAATATTATGAATACCTACGAATTATTTGTATTATATCCATACATTTTTATTTTACACCTTTATAACTTAAAAAGTATAATCATATACTAACTAAAATACATTAAAAAGTTGTGTTTTCTTTATTTATTACACATTACAATTATTAATTGTTCATAATTGGTTATAAATCTTGAATTGTTAAGAAGTACAGTCAATTAAAGATATTGTACATGCTCTTAGAGCTTATAACCTTTCATGATCTTCCATCAAATTATTTTCAATTTTAAAATTACATTTTATATACCCTTATAATTAGTGATTTTATTTTACTTTATATTCCTTATTTTTTTCATTTTTACACACTTATCATATTAACATAAATAATCGCATATGAATTAAAATGCATTTAGAAAATGTGTTTATTTTTTACAAATTATATCATTATAATCGTCTCGCTAATACCTTCAAATTGAACCTAATATTGATTTTTTATTTATTTAATAATACTATTACATACCATGAATATCTACGAATTAATTTGTTTTATTCATACATTTTCATTTTTCATTTTACACCTTTATCGTATTAAAAATGTATAATCATATATCTATACTATATCATTAGCAAGGATATCAATTAATTGTTGAAATTAACCACAAGGGTGGTGCCTGATTGGTTTGAGTTTGGCTCCAAAGGTCAAAAGTATCAGGAGGTCACAAGTTCAAATCCAAGAAGGAATAAAAATCCCCTTGTGGCCATGGAGGTTCAAATGCGGTGACTCCAGGCTATCTACAAAGTAGGTGGTCGCCCTGGGATTAGTCGGCTCACATAGCGGGTTGAATATCCCCGGTTAATAAAAAAAATTAATTGTTGAATTTTAAAAGGTACAAAGTTTCAAGTATCATATACAACTTGTTAAGCTTGGTTAAACCTTAACAACCCCCCCCCCCTGAATCTCTCCCACCCTTGAATACCTCCTAAACCCACGACCGCATCCCAAAAGCTGCTCGTAGACCCCATGTCCCTTCCCTCAATTGTCTCCCTCCAATCACCCTCCTCCAAAACCGCAAACCTCCCTAATTTCTCTCCATAACCATCTCAACAAGAAATGGAGTGCTCTCTCTCTCTCTCTCTCTCTCTCCTAATACTGGTTCATTTTGCTTCTTTAAGGTTTCGTTTCTTTCGATCTTCAACTGCATGTCTGCTTCTTAAATCTTAACACCAAGGACTTGTAGGGTCAAGTTACTTTCTTGTATCTATTAACTTTTCTTGGTTTCTGTACTAAAAGCTTGCATGCATTCTTACACATTAATTTTGATATATAGTCATTAATTACCCTCCAGGCAAACATGCAACCCTGATAGCCATAGATACTCTCTTGGTTACCTATTTCAAACTCCTGGTGTAAAGGAAACAAACAAGTCTGAAATGGATCACTGCATGAACAATATTGGTCAATGGCAACCGATACAGATAAGAAGAAACCTGAAAACAAGTTTCCAGATCTGGTTGATGTGCACTAAGATTTGGTATTAACAGGGCGTGCACTAAAGGTACTAGGACCGTGAGGTGACGCCTAGTAGGTGGTATGCACTAAAGGTATTGAGGACTTAAGATGACGCTTTATATAGTGTGCATCAAAGTCGATAATATGATCAGGTGCAGTTAGATAACGTTGATACATGACCTGCTTTTGTGTTGTTTTTGGATATAGAGTTTATCCATGTTTTCATGTGACATTTTGAGTATGAAGTGTTATACATGATTTATGGTTTTAGGGTATTAAACATTATTCATATTTTTGGTTTTTGTTGGATAATAAAGTTTAATCCACATTTTGGTTGTTTTGGATAATAGAGTTTTATCTACGTTTTCAATATTTGGGTATTTGACTTTATTCACCTTTCGAGCGAGTATTGAATTTTGAGTACTTATTTGAATGGGTGTTCAGATTTATGGTTTTCATCACAAAAATGATGGTTTTGGCAAAGACGTTGTTTTCATATTTTAATACACTTTATTTTGGAAATTATGATTTAAACAGCATCTTTTCAATTTTATCGTTTTATATTAAAATAAAAACGGCTTGAACTCAATAGGCGTCAAGTTAACTCTTTTTATCAGCGCCTTGAGAAATGGTACTACCGACACCGTAATGAGTGGAGTGCTAGTTAGAGTCACATGAAGGATTTAACCATTTTAGGACGTCTTCCGTGTTTTGGGGATACCGAATATTGTTGGGTTTTAGAAACATCCGACCCTAACCTAGACTACATGTGAGGCTTGGTTGATTATTTGTTGATGTTAAATCTAACCAATTACGACGCTTAAAAACTTTAAGCGCAGTATGAACTCAATTTTGCTGTAGTATGTGCAATCGTACCTCCCAACTCACATTATGTTTAAGTCACGATTACGCCAAAATGATTAATACCAACATATTAATCTATTGTTTGTCGAACAACGATAATATATGATTAATTACAATTACAGATGTTATATCATAACTTTTACATGCATGTAGACTCATAATTATGAAGTAACGTTTCAATAAATTGTCCTCCAAATTTCAACGATTTTAGCAAACCACAATGTTTCGATTTTCAAATTCTCATAAAGAATACTCAAAGAATATCAATTATTGAATGATTGATGGTGATTTTACAAAAACACGCTTTTCTAACAAACCAGACAATAAGAATCTTGTTTTACGTAAAACAAACATGATTGATTGCAATTTTATGAGGTAAACTTACAAGAAGTTAGTAATTTAATCGAATTTTTGTCGGAGTAAATCCAAAATAACATACAACTCTTACTGCATAAAACACAAGTTGTTATAAAAATATTACTTTGAAATAGAAAAAGTTAGAATTTCTTAAACAATAATTAAGTGTAATTAACCTAAACTTTTAATCATGAATTTGGCATGCAAAAAGCTAGTATTAAATTATCCTTGACAATTAATATGCAAAGGCACAATGCAATTTTATAATGATGGAGCAAACAATAAAGGAAGGGTGTATGGTGCTAGTAATAATGGCTAATCATTATTAGTTGCTTTTAGTATATTTTTTCATGATGATCTTTATGAATATATATTTTTTATTTAACCTGGGTTAGTGATGACCAAATCGGCTCTGCCCGGCCCGGGACCGGTTAGGGTTTTTGGTAGTTTCGTGGGACCGGGACCTGCCCGGGACTGGCCCGAAAATTCAAATATTTTTATAAATAAATGTATTTTTAAATAATTTTATAATGTATTTTTATAAGACAATGGAATTTTAATTATATTAAAACGCAATTTTAAAGTTTATTTGAGTGATCCAATTGTAAATTTTATAATGTATTAAAAATATATATCATTAGAAAATTTTAAAAAAAAATCTTATTTTTTAATGTCGGGACCAGTTGGGACCGGCGGCCCATAACTGGTTATACCTTGACCAGTCCTATCATTTTCGACCGGAACCGGTTATGGCCGGTTATGAGAAAGCTTGGGACCGATTGGGACCAGCCCGACCTGGCCCGGGATCGGTTTTTGGCCATCACTAACATGGATATCCAACTCGCTATACGAGCCCACTAATTCGAGGACAACCACCTGTTTTGCAGATACTCCGGAGTCACCGCATTTGAACCTCCGTGGTCGCAAGATGATTTTTGTTCTTCCTTGGATTTGAACATGGGACCTCCTAATACTTTTGACCTTTGGAGCCAATCTCAAACCAATCAGACACCACTCTTGTGGTTTTTATGAATATTTTTTAGAATGCATAATATATAAGGGTAAAATAGTCTTTTAGAACAAAATCATTTGCAATGATTAATGAATCGAATTTCAAATAAGTATATGATATTATATACACCGAAAATTCTCACACATCCTCCTTATGTTTTTTTATGTTAAAACCATTGATCTTCATTAAGGTTAGACTATTCGGATAACATGGATGTCACTGTCATGTTGCGCACTTGTGCCGATAACCTCTTGGTTCGAATTTTACTTTACATTTTTATACACCATCAACATTGTGTATATATGTATGCATATGTATATATAGAGGAAAGATCAAATGAAAACATAGTCAAAGTAATAAAACAAGAAACCAACCAAATCGCATATGACGTATGCGACTACGGAACAAGGTCAACTGAAGAGTGAGCGGACGACCTGGCTTGCGAACTCAAGTCGCGGCCAAAGTGGTTTAAAATACATGTGATTTTAGTGTAAAATCACATGTGATTCGACTCTTTTCATGTTCTTTTATTTGATTAATGTTTTCGTATGAACCTGACTTCATACATACATACATACATATATATATGTGTGTGCGCACGTACACGCACATGCATACATATGTAAGATACAAATGTTTTTTATAAGCATGAGTCAACTAACAATCTTAAAACACCAAACCACCCATTTAATTAGCATCATTCAAAATCCTAACATAACTGTATTTGAACGATTTTTAGGCTATGTTTGGTAAACTAATTGATAAGCTAGTTGATAGTTTATAAGTTAGCTGATGGTTGATAAGTTAGTTATTAGCTGATAAGTTTATTGATAAACAAATCATGTTTGACAAAACTAGCTGATAAAAATATAAAATGACCAAAAATGGCATCTTCAAAAATTAATCAATTATAATATTTTCCGAAATATAATTGAAATAAATCTTTAATAATATAATATATTAACTAGTACAAACAAAATGGTGTGTGTGTGTATATATATATATATATATATATATTGATTAAAAGAATTTCAATTTGATTATTATATATAGTATAATATGTAACAATTTGTCCACCAAAATGACATTATATGTACCCATTTGTCTGGTAAGCGCCAACCATGGTAAGAGTCGTCGTCGTCACTTACTGGATAAGACTTTAGGTCATTGCTTTCACTCTTAGTGGATAAAATTATTGGTGATAAATTTTCATCTTGACTTGGTAATACTTACCCGGTTAAATGTTTGGTAAACGAACCTTTAGACGATTTTCAATTATCAGACCCATTTTCTTGTAAGTAATTTTTGTTAGTTATTAAAGATATGATATAAGCTAAATAGACTTATTTTCAAATAAATTAATCGGCTCTAATTCTTTTTTGCTATTATCATGTATTCATGTGAGATGTAAGATGTTCGCCGTAACTAACCATATCCAGTTTTCTAGAGTCTGGGCTTATAGCCCATTTAACCGTATAGAGCCCATAATCGAGCCCATGGGCCATGGGTCATGGGCTCCGGTATAGACAGGCGTCATAGATAACATATCAGTATCACATATGTAGCCATGTAGGACAGAAGGATTAGGTAAAATAAACCGTAATCAAACGAGAAATTTATATATTGTTATAGTTGTAAGAATTTTTATTTTAGGGTTCGGTTGGTTTGTAGGAATGAAATAGATTTAGAGGATTTGGATTTCTAATCCATTATAATCTCATGTTTGGTTTGTAGGATTGTTCGGATTTAAAATCATATGATTTATTTGAAATCCCTCAAACATAGGATTTTAAAATCCCACGACGTTGTTGGGATTTCATGCGATTTCGTAGGATTTGTATATAATAATGTTAAAAAAATTAGTTTTCTAATAATCAATTAATAAAAAGACAATTTAATTATTTATAATTTGTTCATAAAGAATGAAATTCAATTTCATTCCAAATCAAACATAATAAATATTTCAAATTCTTTCAAATCCAAATCCCTCCAATTCCAAATCTTTCCACGAAATCAAAACCTTTTAAAACCATTCCTACAAACCTAACGGACCCTTAAGGTATCGTTTTACATGATTTTTTTTCAATCTAAAACTATTATTTAATGTAATAATGAGCATACAATTGTTTCACAATGTGTGTTGTTTCATATGTATTTGGTTCACAATATTCAATTTTTTTACGTGTAACTTTTGTTTCACAAACAAGCTAAAAAGATTCATATTGTAAAATGAATATATGATAATCGATATTCCCAATTTCAATTTTATATAAAAATTTCTTATGAAACAACATATGATGTACTAGTTTCAAGGTTATCACAATTTCATAGGTTCTTAAAATAAGACGTCCGTAGTTAAACTAAGAACTTATAATATTTCTAAGTATTTCGTAATCATATTGTTTTTGTTTAATTTTAATCAATATAATAAAATACATGATTAAATTTGAGTTAAAAAGGTAAATAAATATATTTTAATTAGGGATGGAAAAAAAACTCGAAACCAATGGTGAAAACCGAAAAACCGAAATTTTCGGGTTGGGTTCGAGGACATTTTATCGGGGACGGGACAAGGATCGGGGACAAATTCGGGGATTTTAACGGGGACCGGGGCGAGGACGGTGATCACCGGCCCTGCCTGGCCCGATATGTATATATACATTAATTTTAATATATATATATATATATATATATATATATATATATAATATCATTAAAAGAAAATAGTAACATTAAAATTTAAAAGACTTTTATCTACTTTACCTAAACTACCCAAATAAAGCTCACGAAAAAATCTAGTTTAGTTCTATATTGTAATCTAATATATTGTCTAAAAGCGTGATTTTAGTTGTATGATGTCTGAATTTCTGTTTAGTTCTATATTGTAATCTAATATATTGTTTGTAATTGGTTCGATTATGTTTGAGACATTTAAACTTACATCTATAAAAAATTGTAATTTACTTTTAATTGTGAAAATTAACATATGATAATTTTTTTCAGATCGGTTTCGGGTTCGGTTATAACCAACGGTAAAAAAATGATTTTTACTCTTAACGGGTTCCCCAACGGGGATCAGGGAAACCGCAAGGACCGACGGGGATCCCCAATAAGATCCCTGACGGGGATCGGGCCGGTTACGGAGACGATATTAGCTATCGGTTTCGGGAACGGGGATACCAATATCCGATCCGAACCCGGCCCGTTGTCATTCCTAAATTTAAATATATACTAATCATATTAATGGTATTCATTATTTACATATATAAACCAAAACAAAGATTCTGCTGTATCTTGAACAGGAACAAGATCTAAAGGCCGGATCTGCGTTAAATCAACCTTTATTATAAATAATAGAATTACATAAAAAAATTAAATTAAAAATAATAATATCGGTATTTAAATAAAAAAAAAAGTAAAATACATATAATTTAAAGAAATCCAAAATTGCCGTCCCAAAATTAATTTATTAATTTTTGTCACACGACACAATTTTTTTTGGCCTGAAAATCTTGTACGGACACAAAAAATATCTAATATAACACTACGTTAGGCTCCGTAAAGTAAAACAAAATTAACAATTACACTTGAAAGCGAACCGGGTTTTGGAAGAAAGAAAAAGTTCGATGCCGGTATGGCACTCCGTCAATATTTCCAAAATTTTCATCCTCTTTTTCTTGTTTTAAACTGCAATCAAAAAACCCCCAAATTTTTCTCTGTTAGCACCGTCAATTAGTTTTACAAATTTTGCATCGGCGACATGTTGCTTCTCCAATTGCATTCGAGCTTCCAAAAGCGCCTGCTTCACCTCTTCGCCCCCTATAGTTTCTTGATCCAATACCTCGTAATCTTGAATTGCAGACTCCCATCTTTCCAACTGCAAAATAAATCAACGATGGATAAAAAGGTTACAAACAATGAATTGGTCCTAAAAGGACGTGAAATGAGTCAAAAATAAGCAAAGCGGTCATTGATTCGACAGTCTAGTGGCCAACCTTTCCAGAGGTCAATGACTAAAAATCTCATCAGATGTCATATACTTCCAAAATAGTCAAAATGAATTATAATTTACCTTGGCGTTGCATTCGGCTCTTCGAAGTCTAGCCTTGCCGTACGAAGGTCTCAAACTAAGAGCTACGGTACAGTCTTCTACCGCTCTCTCGAATTGGCCTAGTTTATAACGACAAGCAGCCCGATTGCATAGCAATACAGAGTTGTATGGTTCGTGCTCTAGTCCTTCGCTATATACATTACAGGCTTCAGAGAATTGTGATCCCTTGAAAATCTTGTTACCCGTGGCTCGAGCTCTTGCCAAAGCTCGGGTTTTCCTTGCTATGACGAAAACCTCCTCGCTTGGATCAATCTCATAAGCACGTAGCACGCCACTCACCGCCTCTTCAAACCTATATCACATTCACATGTGAATTTCATATGATTATTCATCTAGGTACGAAATCTAAGCGGAGATTTCAACTTTTTTTGGAATAAAAATCATGTGTTCCCAAATCCCATGTTTTTTGGGATTTAGGGATCGGTAAATTTTATTTTGCTACTAACCTGCCCGATGCCAAGTAAACTTGTGCTTGGACCGTTAAAAAATTGGCAGTAACCGTTGATCCGAACAATTGAGCGGAAATACCGACGTCCATGACCGGTGCGTTTTGAAATCCGAAATAAGCCTCCTCATGTCGATGGAGATTTAGTAATGCCTCAGCTTGCATAGCATAGACCTTACAACACCAAATCATTGAAAGATATATATATATATATATATATATATATATATATATATAAGTCTGACTTTTAAGATCAAACTGTTACGATAATCAGTTCATAATGAGTAATTAGAACGTACCTGAATAGATGAATCTACACCCAAAGAAAAAGCAAATTGGCTTTCTTTTAGTAATTTTTTCCAATCCTTGATTTTTCGAGCCCCCAAACATGTAACGAGTTGTGCTTTGGCTGCTTGTACCTTACCAAAATCGAGTCGTTCGGCTTTCTCACCCGAACACTTATAATGACATAGAGCTTTCTCTGCTTCCCCGAACCTAAAACACACGATTTATCAACAATACTGAATTAAACCAAATTACTAAATTGTAGAGTATAAATTATCTACGCGAAAACATGATTACTGGTATAATGTACAAGTCATCAATGTAAAAGCATGACAACTTTGTAAATTATATCGGTAATCATGTTCTACATCGGTGACTTGTACTAAAATGCCATACAAGTCACCACTGCAAAAAAAAACGATACCTAAGATAGAGAGATGCGAGACGGTAATGGGCCCGATGATACGAAGGATCGATACGAATTGCGATTTTGCAATCTAGAATTGCATCAACCAATTTTCCTAAACCTATCAATGCAGCACTTCTGTTACTATAATAAGAAGCGATTGTCGAATCCATCCTGATTGCTTCGGTATACAATGCGATCGCCTCATCGAACCGACCCTGTTTGTATTTATCGTTACCGAGGTTTTTAAACGCCTCGGGGTCCCATTTTTTCGGCAAGTTTCCGTAGATGTTTCCTAGTTTCCCATACGTTTGTGTCTTTTCGGGTTTTTTCTTCATTAGATTGCCCAAATGGCCAGGAACCATGACATGGTTCGACGAGGCTCGATACGTCGAGCCATTCGGGTTCGGTTTTCCACGAACCGAGATTCGGAGACTCAATTCGCTTGACGTAAAACTGGGCTCTTTTCGAAGCTGTTTCGTGTATGATATATTGGTTACTTGTGAAACACTGTATAATGCACTTTTGGAGATGGAGTCATACGGTGGTTTAACTGGTTTACTTCTCACGGTGGCCGGTTTTTTCACGGCGGTGGGTGGTCTAGTTTTAAGTTGTGGTTGTGGAGGAGGGTTTTTGGCAACTGGTTTTGAGAAGCCTGTGTATACTATCTCTCCGGCGCCGGCGGTGGTGGTGCGGCTGTGGGTTCGTTGAGGTTTCTTTGAAGTATGGTTGCCGGAAAATTGGGTTCGACGGTGCTCTTTAGAGGCTTCAAGTCGCGGCACCGGTGGTGTTTTCCGGGGACGGTTGCCGAAAATAGCCCCAATGAAGCCGCAACCGTTGTCTTTTCCGGCTATGTGTTTTGGCGTTTCGGCCATTTTTCTTCAGCTTCTTGAGAAAGGAAGGAATTTGTCCCCAATATTGAAGAAATGGAGAAGGCATTTATATAAAAGAAATAGATGTGCTTAAATGGTTTGTACGCTATGCATAAAAAGTTGTACGGTCTATATTTTAGGAAACTTTTTTAAATTTTATTGTTTAATATCGATATTATCGAGATGCATTTGAGTTTCTATGCTTAATGAGGCTTTATATATCAAGAATGTACTTAATGTCATTTATCTTTTGCAAAATATGTTTAATTTTTGAATGACAAAAATAACCTTCGGGCCGTTTACCAAACACTTACCTGGGTAAGCGCTTACCAAGTCACATTATCTCACCGGATGAATATGGTAAAGAATAAGAATCTTACCCGGTAAGAACGAGACAAGGATCATGAGTTTTACCTGGTTAGTGAGGGCGACGACTCTTACCATGGTAAGCGCTTACCGGGTGAATTGTTGCATACAATGCCGTTTTGATGGACTAAAATCTTACCCGATAAGTAATAATAGTGTTAGATTTTATGATAAGTACTTGTCAGGTAAATATTTGATAAACGACCCCTTAGATATGAGACCATCAACTTTCCATTCATCTCCTTTCTATCTCCATTGAAGAATCCCCATTTTCTGGATTGCTATAATAAGTTAATAACATGATAATTTGCTACAATACGATGAAGAGATAATAACGAAATAAAGTTTGATGCAGGAACACCATCAGCATTCAAAAACCAAATCAAGAATCCATAGCCGATGATGGTTTCATCGAGCAACAATCGAACTCCATTGAGAATCCATCAACTAGCCCGTCTAGAATACTGAAAATTCATCGAACTATAATTGTTCTTTTAGGGACAGGCTTGAACTTCCAACCTACGACTTTTAATAACTTTTGAAGTCTGAAGTTTTATTTTACTTTTGATTTGTAAGAGGTGGTGCTAATCTATGAAATCTAAATCAATAAGACTGTTTGTTTTTGTAAACTTATAGATGTTTGAATTTGTTTAAATTGTCTATTTTATCCATTAAAAATTATAATGTTGAATTTACAAATAAAATTTGTACAATTTCACATATTTGTTCATTATCATTACGAAATTACATGTAAATTATATAATTAGCATTCATTTAAACGAAAATGTGTCATTAATGTATTTAACACATCTAAATCTTATTAAAATACATCAATTGAGAGACGTGAGGATTGATTGAGAGAAATGGTCGATTAAGTTTAATCGACTGAGAAACATCATTGTTGAGGGTGTGAAGAACTATAAGAGGCAAATAAGGGGTTGGTTTACCTCTTACCAGATAACACATAAGTACCTCAGAAAAATTGGAAAAAAAAAAAACAAATAATCTGATTGATCTTACCTCTTAACGAATCAGACATCATAGACTAATAAGAGTTTTTTTATAAAAAAAACAAATAAGGTCTAAGGAGCCGTATACCTAAACACTTATCTGATAAGTACTTACCGGTAAACTTCAACACTATCGCTTACTTACCTTGCAATATTTTATTCATTAAAACGCATCGTATGCAACAATTTATCCCGGTAAACGCTAACCATGGTAAGAGTACTCGTATTCACTTACTGGGTAATACTTGAGATTCTTGTCTTCGCTCTTACTGGGTAAAATTTCTTAGTTCTTACCATATTATTTCGGTAAAGTAAAATGACTTGATAAACGAGACCTAAGTTTAAATTTATTATATTTAGGATAACGGTAGCATTAAACATATATTTTGATATAAGAAAATATTAGAAACTCAAATTTCCTTTTATCAACTTGGAATTGTTGTTATCCATATACTATATATTATCTTGACTGATTATATATAATAACAAAAAGTTTGGCCATTAGCAAAAGTGCAAACATAATTATTACTTCAATTAATTAATAAATCCTCCCCATCCAATCACATAGATTACACACCAAAATTATATTATTAAAATAAACCGTCTTTCGTTAAAAATACATTACATAATTAATTGTAACGTAAATATCAATCATACTATTGATCTTTACCGTTCATCTATTCTAATATATATATATATATAGGGGAGTGATCAAATGTAAACCACTCAATTTATACAAACCGTGCAAATTTCATTCAACCAATCATAATTTTTCATTTTGTTTATTTTTTTGTAATTATAAAAGGTGATTAATCATTTTTATTGTGGAGGGTGTTAATCATAGATATTATCATCTTTATTATTTTAATTTAATAAAAATACATGAAACAGTTTCATTAATTTTAAAGAAATACATGAAACAGTTTTATTAAGTATTATATGAAACAATTTCACAACCATATATGAAACAAATTTATCAAAAAAAATATTATATGAAACAATTTCATGAAAAAATTTCATAAGATTAAACAATGAAATCGACGGATGAAGGTAGTTTACAAGGTTTACACAAATGAGGGCGGTTTTCATTTGATCACTCATCTCTCTACATATATATATATATATATATATATATATATATATATATAGAGAGAGAGAGAGAGAGAGACTTAGGATCATGTGAGACTAACTTGTTTTCGTAAGACTCGTGAGACCACTTTTTTACACTTAAAATTTCATAGCAAAACGCTGTGAAGGTTCGAATTCTTTTTATCTTCAGAGCGTTTTGCTGTGAAGTTTCAAGTGTAAAAAAAGTGATTTCTCGAGTCTTACAAAAACAAGTTGGTCTCACGTGAACCCAACCCTATATATATATATATCACAACGTTTTGCTATGAAGTTTCAAGTGTAAAAAAAATGGTCTCACGAGTCTCACGAAAAGAAGTTGGTCTCACGTGAACCCAACCTATATATAGGGTTGGGTTCACGTGAGACCAATGGTTTTTCATGAGATTCGTAAGACCAATTTATGTTCATTGATCAACTTTATAAGCTAATGATTTAATGGTCTAAAGTTGCACGGTGACAATTTTGTGATTATTGAGAAGTCTTGGGCAGTTTTATGATTATGAATGTTCAAATTATAGATCTAATTCAAGGGTTAAGAATTGGTTTTACAGGTCTCACGAAAAACCTTTAATCTCACATGATCTCAAATTTGTATATGTATGTATATTTATAAACTAGTTGTGTACCCGCACAATGCGGCGGGAGCCATGAATTTTAACGATTTTGAAGTTCCTCACTGGTTTTATAAGATAAGATTTAACAATGATATAGGTGACACTTGGTCTTTACATATTAATACAATTTGAATAAATAAGAGTTATGGTTCGAATTACAGACTATCGATGAAAAAAATTGTATGACAGTTTAAAATCCAACATATTTAAACGACTCCACAAATGTGTTCGATTTACACCAAGAGCAAAGAACCAAAAAACTTGAGTTTTAAGATAAACACTCAAAACCAATACAGAAAACTACAAATTTGACAGATCATAAGCCATGAAAAGACCAAAAAAGATGGGTTTTAGAATGAAATTTCAACTGATTACCTTCTCTCTTGTCCAGAAACTCAAAAAAACCCAAGAACATATTAATTCAGAACATATTATACAGTGCAATTTGGACAGCCTAACCCCAAAATATATGGTATATATATAAATAAATAACTATAAAAGTATAAATCGTAAATATTAAAAATATTTTTTTTACAGTATATATAATATATAATTATATAATTAAGTAAAAAACTATCCAATATTGGACTCATTTTAAATGTATTAACGAGACGATTATAATGGTGTAACTTGTTAAAAATGTATTTTTTTAAACATGTTTTAATTGATATACGATTATGTATGTTAATTTGATAAAAGTTTAAAATGAAACATTTAAAAGTAAAGGACGTAAAGTAAATTAATTAACTAATTATAGGGGTATAAAGTATAAATTTAAAATTATAATTTAAAAAAAATCCGTGTGAGAAAGTGAGTGTATGTGAGGAGAGGAGGGGTGAAAAGGTGAAAAAATGACATAAGAATAGTATAAAGGGTATCTTGGTCATTTAGAATTTTAAAACTTTTGTTAAATTTACTTAATATATGGATATCCTTAAATAAAACATACGAGTGAAAATAGAATATCTATACTACTTTATAAAGCAAATTTAAGAAAAGTATTAAAAACAACATTAAATGCATAAGGTACTACATTTTGATGCATAAAGTCTTAAAGTCTTAAAAACAACTTTTGTTACACTTTATGCTACTAACTTATGTAGTAGTCTTCAAATCTTTTAATTACAATTTTTAAAGCATTATGTACAACTTATCCTAAGCAAGGGTTTAATGCTTCAACTTCCAAGGTGGTATGTTTCCAAAGGGTTTTGATATCAGTCACGGTTCTCCCTCTATTACATTGATTTTCAGTCCCTCTCTAATCCTCTTGATCATGCCCCTTCCCAAGACTATCTCAAACACTCAGACACGCTCATGTCGATCTCCTCCATGACGATTCATGGACTATCTTAGAGACGCTCTCTTCGCTTCTCCCAAAGTGACGATTCACAAAATTGATTTCTCCAAGACGTCGATTCAACCGATTCAAGAATCAAGACCATATATCAAGGTCCTTCCATGCTTCTTTCGGCCATCCTAGACTCCATACGATTAGGGTTTTTAATTCAATGACTCCATCATTATTGTAAATAGTTAGTGTTGGTCCCGTAAAGGTCTACAAGAATAGAACAGTTTGTAGAAGGAGGGGATGAATACAAACACAGTATTTTCAAATTTAAAATATATATTGATAGAGAAGATCAATACATATTTTACAAGACTGTTTGCGGAAAGATAAGGTAAAGAAAACATATCTAAACAATCTTTGGATACACACAGATATTTAGCAATTACAAGAAAAGAGATTGCTAAAAGGAAGATCTTTTACTTAAGCTAGAAGATGCTTGAAATAAGAATAGGATAGCAGAGAGATGCGTGCACTCTGCATGGAGAAGAAACACTTCTATTTATACCCAATGCATTAAATGAACATTTAATGCAATATGGTAGGTTTAGAGTGCGTGTCAAGCCTTAAGAG